TTTTAGGTGGCTCTCTTTGAGTTTTTGAAAGACGGATTTTAAATTAGAAATATGTTCCTGCAAAGACGTGGAAAAGACGATTATATCGTCCATGTATACCAGACAGATTTTACCTTGAAGATCTTTAAGGACGTTATCCATGAGCCTTTGGAAGGTGGCAGGGGCGTTTTTGAGACCAAAGGGCATTCGGAGGAACTCATAGTGTCCGTTTTCGACACTGAAGGCGGTTTTCTCAATTGAATCAGGGTGCATGGCTATTTGATGAAACCCAGAGGCTAAATCCAGAGTGGTAAAATATTGGCTGCGGCCAAGTTTGTCGAGAATATCGGAAATGTTTGGGATGACGTAACGATCTGCTATTGTTTTTTCGTTAGTTTTACGATAGTCTAAAACTATCCTCCATTTTTGTTTCATAGAAGAATCGGACTTTTTGGGAACGACCCAGACGGGACTGGACCAAGGGCTTGAAGAGGAACGAATAATACCATTTTCCAACATCTCAGAAATTTGTTTTTGTACCTCTTTTTTATGTATAAAAGGGTACCTGTATGATTTAGTGTACACTGGATTATTGTCTGTGGTTTTAATTTCGTGCGTAACAATATTTGTACAAGATAGTTTCTCGTTTGGTCTATGTAAAACTTCTGGAAATTGATTGATGACTTTTTTAAGGGCTGCTTTTTCTTCGTTATTTAGATGATCTGTACGGAGAAGCGAAAAATCTTGGTTGTGATCGGAATTGTCATGTGTTTGAAAGTTGGATGTTATTTGCTCGATATTAAATATCTCGAAATTTTGGGAATCAAAAATTGGGCTACTTCCCTAATTGAATCCGGATAAAAATCTAGAACGATGTATTCATTAGTTTGATTTCGAAATTCTAAAGGGATCGTACCATTTTGAACTTTTAAAAGTGAACCTGGAATTTCGATTTTTTGAGCAGTACGTAAATGGGGAATATATATTTCGGTTTCGTCAGGTATGTCAGTGTTTATGTTTTTCATTATTATAGATAAGGGTGGTATTTCTATTTTTTGCAAATCAAAATTGTCTCTGTAATAGATAGGTATTTCAATCGTATCGTTTTTTAAAAGCTTATTTGTTATATCGATATTAAGACCTAATTTACGTAAATCTCTGATTCCTATTATTCCATCAAAATAGTCATGAAAGCTGTATAAAATTAGTTCGAGTTCGTTATTTATATTGAATTCTTTTAATAAGGAAATTTTTGTTTTATTTTGGGTATTGGTATTGCCGGTACAAGTTACTAGGGTGTGTTTACAAGGGTAAATTAATTGTGGAAAATATTCTTCCGCTATAGATGGTCTGATTAAGGATGTGTGCTACCCGTGTCGATAAGAAGTTTAGCTGGGGATTTTGAAGTTGAATGTAGGGAAGAGAGTTGACTTGAAAGCTGTTTAAATTTAGGACGGATTTTCGTTTAGAGGGCTGTTGAGAAAATTTTCTTCCTGTGAATCTTGCGGAATTTCGTGATTTTGGAAATATTCTATATCTTGATATTCGGGAGGTTCGATATAGTTTTGATATTCTTGTTCTTCAGGCAAATATTCAAAGTCTTGTTGATATTGGTCTGGCATATCTGCTAGATAGCTTAAATCAGTGAATGGGTGTCGGTTTTGGGCGAATGAATTTCGATTTCGGGGAAATTGTCTTTGGGTTTGGATTGAGCGCATGTGAACGTCTGAATTTCTACTTACTGTCGACGGCATTCTACTGGTTGTAGACATTGGTGTTGGGGGGCTAGTCAATTTATTAGAGTTTTCTCTAGAGAAAACATTTTTTGGCTTGCCAAAAACTTGTTCGTTAGTCGGAAAATTTTGTCGTACCATTTGTGGTTGTGGAATTTTTATTGGTTGGCTTGGAAATGGTTGTTTAGGTATAGCACCTGTGCTGCTTGAAAATTGAGCGTTATTTTGTGTCATTGGAAAGGGACTTACAAAAGATTGTTGGGGTTGAACGTTGTTTTGTGTCATTGGAAAGGGACTCACAAAAGATTGTTGGGGTTGAACGTTGTTTTGTGTCATTGGAAAGGGGTTAACAAAAGATTGTTGGCTGGGTGGAGGCATAAAGTTGAAATTTTGGCGATTATTTACTTGAGAAGGTGCTCTATTTTGAGTCATATTATAGAGGTCTTGTCGAGGAAAAAATGTACGTGCGTTTATCTGTTGTTCGATAAGGGAGTGGTTTAGGACAATTGAACTTGCGTCATCAATATTTTTTGGATTATTTAGCATTAAAATTGTTCGAAGCTCGCTAGGAGAGTTTGACATTAAGACAGTAACGGCTGTTAATTCTGTTTGCTCTAATAGAGCTTCTTTTGTGCCTTGTTCCAAAGAATCATCAGCGGCAATTTTTAGAGAAATACGTGATTTTAACAATTTTAATCGTTCAATAAAGTCTAAAATGGATTCTCTTTTAGATCGGGTCAAAAAATTTAGCTGTTGAGCAAGTACTTGTCGGTTAATTCGGTCACCAAATCTTTGTCTTAACGCGTCCTTTATTTTGGGCCAGGTCGTTAAATCTGGTCTACAAAGTAAAAAGTCGCCTGCTTCCTCGGTTATTTTACTGCAAATTGACGCAAAAACGAATTCTTTAAGAGATTCATCAGCAGTACCTATAAAATATCTATTGTAAAATTTATCTATGCTTGAAATAAAAAACTCTAAATGTTCACTTTTGCCTGTAAAAGTTTTAAGTGTATGAGCAATCTCTTTTGCGGCTGTAAGGGTGGTCATGTTTGAAAGAGAAATATTTAAAAGGCTTTGAGTTATACTTTCAATTTCACTCTCGGACATTAAAATGTAAAAACTAAATTAACTAAATTATTGCACTTTTTTTTTTAAAAATTAAATGTAAGCAAATTATCGTTCTATACTAAAACTTAAAAACTTTTAAATTAAAATTATATTATGAAATAATGTAAATTATACACACAATTATATGGGAGTGGAAAGGAAAACTCACTTACGATAGATTAATTTCTTCTTAACTGTGGTCTTCCTGCCTTAGATTCTGTGCCTCAACAAACAGTTAAAACTGACGATTTTCTGGACTTCGGCAACGTCTTTTTGTGGGACTGCTTGCAAAACCAGGAATCTCTGAGACACCTACACGATTGACGCGCCAGTTATGTATTTTATTGTAACTAACTTGTTTTTAAAAAATTTATTTTATTCAAGAAAATTACAATTTAATAATTTGACAATATAAAGTAACTGCGTACTGTACGAAAGTTAATCATAAAGTGAATAGGTATATCTAATATTCAATAACATGAAATGTAATGTCAGCAAATTAATTGTTTGCAATATATAATAGTAAAATAATAACTAGGTCGGTTCATGAACTATGATTGGGACGGACTGCGTCACGTATCTCGGGTGATAATCAAAGACCAAAATGACATTCATCGCAAATTTTGAAGTACAATTAGTGGAAAAGTCAAACGTTTGTTAACTTTTTCCACTAATTGAAAATTACTACCACTAATTATGACGTTCTGAAAGCTTACATTAAAATTAGGTGAACAAACTTCTACGACTAATTGAAACTACTAATTTATTCCACTGATTGCGAGGTTCTGAATGAAGCTTCAATTAGTGGAAAAAGTTAACAAACTTTTGACTTTTTCACTAATTATACTTCAAAACACAAAACATCCCCCTTTAGAACTTCATCTGTCATAAGTTCTAAAGGGGGACGTTTTGTGTTTTAATAAAGTTAAGAAATGAAAGTAAATAATAAAGCGCCTCTCGTGTTTGTTCGCACTCTAAAAATTTCAACTAATGCCTGTATATATTTTTAATATATTTTTTAAATTTACATTTTTTTAATTGTAAAGTAATATATTACATTTAAATGGAATATATTAAATTACAATTATGTCAATTACAGGATTACAGGCTTGTTTTCTAACATTTTTTAAATAAAACGAATTGTTAAATTTCAATATATGTATATTTGTCGTAGGTATGAAAAAATAAAATATAAAATGGGGGGACAAACGCTTACTTACATTGCAATAAAACTTCCACTTTTAGTTTTGCAATCCAAACGCAATATTTCTATTTTACAAATAAAAATATCCGACAACACTAAAATCACTGAAACTTCCGCGCCTGACAACGAAAACTGAAAAATATAACGGCACTTTTTGTTTTGGACCTGCATATCAACATTACGCTGTACCATTATGAAAATATCTAATTATTACTTGTAAATTTTAATATTTTAACATGATTTTAACTATTTCTGACAATAACTAACTTTTTGTTATCAAGATGACATTTTAGACGGCAACTGACATATACGTCATAATATTTGAATTTTAAATATGTACCGCTGATATGTATGTAATGTAATTTAAATTAATACCTATAATGCAACATTATACTAAGAAAACATTTATACACTCACAAAATACAACAAAGTCTAATAATCTAGTTTGAAAACAATGAACATTGAAATAAAATTGAAAAAGTTAAGCGCGACCCCTTGTGTCAAAATTAGATGATTAAATTTTTGCAATTTTTACACCATTTGATGACCGGTGGCGCCTCTAGTGTTTGTTCTGGCAGTTGGTCTTTTACTCCCACTTGTGGCCATTAAAGAAAAAGTTCTAAAGGGGGATGTTTTGTGCTTCAAAATTTGCGAGGAATGTCATTTTGGCCTTTGATTATCACCCGTTAAGAAAAATGTTGGTTAAAAATCAAAAGTTTATTGTGTTATATAAGCTAAATATTATTCTTTCTCTATGGATACAACAGATTACTGAAAGCTGTTGCTAGGATATTTTATTAATTTTAATTGTGTTTTTTAGACATTGTGAATGATCGTAAACTAAAAAGTATAAAGTGTAATTGAAACCACTAATTGGGAGGTTCTGAATGAAGCTTTAATGAGAGACAAAAAACTGTTCCACGCCGTACAATAAATGCAAAACGCCAAACATGTCATTTGTATAGAAAAAAACTTACTTTTATTTGGTCCTTCAATGTACTAATAACTCCATTCAGTTCCGCCACCGATTTTTCGTAGGCGCCTCGTTTGTCCTCCATCTTCCTCTGAAGATCGTGAATAACAAGCGTCGATTCATTGGCCAGCCTTTGCTGCTCCTTCAACTGATCCTCCAATTCGGCAACGCGACTATCCTCACCCGACGATTTCTGTTCGCTCAACAATTTCTGCCAGTTGGTTACCAGTTGGTCGATCTTATCCTGATGTTCTGCGATAATACCGTCCAGTGAATGCTGCAGCTGCTGACCTTCATTCTAAATAAAATCAAATAATGTTATTAAGATATGGAGAGATTGGTACTGCCCTATAAAGGGTTAATTTGTAATCACATAATATCCAAATTAAAACATACCTTGAGTGATTCTATCTTGTCGGACACTTCGCCTACATCGATTTCTGATCTAGTAACGCTTTCCAACAGTTCCACTATAAGTGCCCGACGACTCAGCAAATTCCTGCAAATATCCATGAGAGTTTTTGGAATTTCCTCGATGGACTTCTTCATGCCACCCACAACTTCCACGGAAACTTGTTCTCCACCTCCACGCTAGGAAATATTTTAATTTTAACTTTTTTCAATATTAAATTGCCGTGTTTAAATTACTGCAGATGGTTTGTTAAATTCATCCAATGGCACCAGTCTTAAGTCGTCCAATTTGACATTTTTTCCCAATTCTTCCAATCTCTTTTTGATTTGAATCAAATTCTGATATAAATCAACCACGGGTTTCTGTTTTTCCACTAGCTCTTTCTTCATTTGAACGTATCGTTTGTTTTTGTTGATGAACTGAATTTCCAGAGTGTGTTTATTAGCTACGGTATTAGTGCGGTTGATCGACATGGAACTGGTCCTACAATACCACAATCTTAAATTATGTTCTTTTTAGCAGGACTTTCAGCGTCAAGGTGGGATCATATAGACGCGAATTGAAATGCCAAGTTTTTGTGTTAGAAACTTAATTATATAAAGTTATAAACTTATCGATTACAAACAAAAATTGAAAATAAATAAATAATAATATTTCAAAGGTTTTAATAACATACAGATAAAAGTATTTTTTAGTATTGACGATGTTTTTTTCTATACAGGGTCCGGTAATAGTGAGTCGGGCATCTGTAACTTCCATAAAAAACTTAGGAAAACCTAAACTATATTTCATATCAATTAAACTTTTAGTTACGTAATCGGGGGTGCCATTTTTAAATTCATTGTTGCCAACCATGGTCATGACTGCCTAACTGGAATTTAAATTTCGCGCTGGGGATTCAGGTGGTACCTTTGCTGTAAGAAATGTCAAGTTGCCGCATTTATTTATTTATTTCCTGACACTGACATTCGTTTTGACACTTTAGTTTTGTATATAACGAGTTTTTGGTTTAAATAAATAGTGTTGTGATACTTTAAGCTGGAAAATGTTTATTACCATACCTTGCAGTCGAACATTGTTCTTTTTAGAACCTCTTTTAGTGCGAAGTGTACAAGATAGCCGTAAAAAAATCATCGGCAACTTTATTAAAATATTTTGAACGGGAAAGCGGTAGTAATGGCCCTTTATGTCCCTTAAGTGCTGTTAAGAAGATGAGTTTGGTTTGTAATGGATAACTATTTATATATTTATATAAATGTAAATGGATAACTGTTTATATAATTATAATTAATTAACTTTTGTTTCCTAAAATATTTTGATTAAAAGAAAATATATAAAAGTGGGCAACTTTGTGCTGGTCAAGTTAATTAAGCTGCGTCTTAATTACGTAACTAAAATTTTATTTGGTATGAACTGTATGTATTAGAATGTATTTCAGAAAAATATTTTAACTCCTAGAGGGCGGCTAAAAAAAGTGTGAGAGGATCGGGATGATTTTTTTAAATGGATCACCCTATAGGTATATTATTGCATTTTTGGCTTCCTTTCTGATCACTTTACATAATCCTAAAATATTATTAAATATGTTTTGATAGTTTCAGAGATATTATTAAATAAATAAAAACATGTTTTTTTGGCTTCTTTTTAATTAAAATTCAAGAAATGTTCTGTAATCAAAACTATACTAGGTATTTTGGTAACAGTTAAGTTCCGTGTTTTTTCGATATCAATGATTAAATCACAGTTCGTGGCATATCGCTTGTCACTAAAATACCCACTTACTTGCTAGTTGATCTGGCATTTTTTAACAGAACTGGTATTTTGATAGGTCCTGAATTTTTGACAGGCAATGGAATACTGCTGCACACAGGAGATGGTCTGGTGATCGACGATTTTAACAGTGGCGTTCTGGACGATTGTTGACGTCGAACAGAGCGGGGTGTAGAGGTAGTGAATACTTCACTAGAAGAAGCATTGCTGCGGCCCGATCTCGGAGTGCTCTTTACCGTTTCGTTGGTATTCTGATAATCCGTGTCCAGTTTTTCTAGTTGAGTTCCATCCTACAAAATTATTATCTTAAAGAATCATTTTCAGTAAGTTTATAAGGCAGTTTTGATAATTCGATTGATTCCATTCGTATAATAATGCAAAACATTTTTTTCAAATTTAACGATAACAAATACAAAATAACATCTTCATTTCCAAATCTATATGACGCTTTTTTCTATCCAATGATGTTTTGCTTTAGTGTTTTTACCACAGTTTACTCACTAGCCAGCTAGTTAACTCTGCTAATTTTCGGTACCCGCGCATGACCTGCCGCGCCGGTCTCTTTGCAGTCAGAGCAGCAGTTGAGATCCATCGACTGAGCGATAGTTCACAGGGTCGGATTCAAATCAATTTAATTATTGTCGCTTTGCAGGAAGTAACGAAATTATTATTTTCGTTTATGTAAGTGACTAGTCAAAAGCGTATTTTAGTAATTTTAGAAGCAAAACTACGAAATACATATAAATAAAATGACTTAAATCTAACACGCTTTCCTATTTACACTTTTTTGTATATTTTATGTAATTATAGGAAATCGATGAATGACATATGTATTGTTAAAAAACTTTAATTAATGTTTATAAAATTAATTAATGCGATTTTGTTGATTATATACTAATTGAAACACATATTTTACTTTATAATCAAAAATTAAAGCATATATATTACATTAAATTTATATTATTGTAACGCTGTTAGGGCAGTTAAAAGCAATAAATAAATATGTATTATACAGGGCGAGTATTAAATAAATGCAAATATTTTAGGGGTAGTATATTTCGACCCCAGAAACACGCCTCTGAGGGTTTTTTACGCAAAAAAAAATTGAAAATTTGGATTAATTTGAAGAATATTTTGAGAAAAATGAAAAGGAAATAGAATTATAAGGTGTTGTATATAGACTCGTTAGCAAAATATATACCGGTAATCATTGGCGGATCCATGGAGCTCCTCAAGCTCCCCCCCCCCCCCTTAGGTTCAATCATGTAATACGCTATTATTAATTTATTATGTCAGAAACGACTCCGGAGTATGTACTTTGAGTAAAGTTTTGTATCTAACCTCCCCTTTCCCGAATTCACTATCAATATCGGCTTATGAATTCTTTGATTGATTCGTTTTTGTGCGTCAGTCCATTGGTGTGCTTGCAGTGCGACCAATGGGGCATTCCATTTTAGATTTATAACCAAATATATGTTTTGACATGACTTTGACAGTTAAAACAACAAATTACAACAGATTTTATATTGATTATTATATGACTTGAAACACCACGGTACTGGAATTAAGTTTTATGTGATCTTGAACAGATTAGTTCACATGGTAGCGACAGATGAATCACTCCCAAACATTCGTGGCGTTTACTATAGACTTCGTACCTACTTCGATACCCGTTCCATGGTAAATCGCATAGATAAATGCAACAAGTTTAGATTGGAAAGCCCGTATAAATTTTGGATCGCGAAATTATTTTGGGTCGCGACCGTTATACGCGATCTGGCGCTGCTATAGCGGTCGCTAAGAACAACGGCAAACAAAAACAGAAATAATTTTCTCTTGTCAAAGTCAGAATCTTTAAAAATCGTAATAATCTTTCAAAATCTAAACCGCTCTCATTAAAGAAATCCCGAAAAGTGTTTATAGCGTCCATTTTCAAAGTAATTATTGCTATCTTGTAAGTTTAATTCAAGTTTTATTTACTCCAACCGGTGATAATTGTGAAAAAGTCGCATTAAAAACTTAAAAAGCTGTGCTGTGAACTGTGAACTGCAAAAACCATCGTGGATCGTGGCATAACATCGGTTTCCAATGTTTCATAGGTATTACATACATGCGTCCTTATATAAAATAAAGTTTCTTGTATGCAACATACTGTATTTTATTTATAAAATTAAACGCAAATAATAATAAATTTGAATAAACAATATTTGGCGATATAATTCCGGAAAAAGCCGAATCGCTCCGAAATTTTCAAAAGTTTTGGGTCGCGACCGTTGCAAGAATAGCGCCAAATAGTGTTTACATTGTCCTTATGGGCACTTTCCAATCTAAACTTGTTTCATTTATCTATGGTAAATCGTTGTGAGTTGACTAGCTATCTAGTGAATAAGCTGTGATTTTTACTATGCCAAATTCCGCATGTATTTTAGGATTATGTATACAGGAGTCCCTTATTTTACGAAGGGATTGCGTTTCTTAAAAAACACCACAATACGAAAATACATAAGTATTATTAAGAATATTTCCTACAAGTATCCTGTATTATCTTAAGGCATACATAATATGGGTTACTAGCAAAACCAATACATTATAAAAACTGGCCGTAATTATCACACTTAATACTGTAATTACAAATATATTGTTAAACACATTTTTAAGTATTACTTACCATGTCAAGGGCACTGGTAGAACAAAATTCTTCGTCGGGAGGTGTAGTTTCAAAATCTAAAAAGAAAATACGTCAAAGTCGTTGTCAAAATTTTGAAGAATAGAAGTTTCATGAAATAATACGCCCTACGCTTAAAAATAATTAGATTTCTGGCTAGTTTTGGATGGAACTTGTTCAAAACATTGACAGAAATGTTAGACTTGTAATTTTACTCATACCTGAAGATATAGCGCGTCTTGTTGAAGTCATGGCTGTTCCAACTCCGAGAAAGGTTTTACATCATCATTCGTATGAATACTCACACGTAAATTTTAGATCAAATGAAAAAATGGGGAACAAAAATATGACACAAACAAATGATTTAATCAACACGTTAATCACTGTGACAGGTGATGATTTGATCCATATTTATATACTTTGGCATTTCAAATATATGTTAAATTTTTTAAAGTAGTTTTAGTTAAGTTAGCTATTTTTTGTTTAAGTGCATTTATCTCAATTAATTTCTGTTCTAGATCAAAATTAAATAAAATGTATTTTTTTTGAACCTAAACAAATTCTTATAATTTATGAAAAATGTCAGAAATGACAAAGGTAATTTCGGTTTAAAATAACTCAGGTTTGTGTCGTCTTATTACAGAGGTATCAACTTGGTATCAACTAAATATGGGCTCAATTATAAAAAATATACATAATAGTACTATCCTAAATTTCTATGTTGATCGTTAGTGTAAATAATAAATAATTTAAATATATTATTTTTGTAAATTGTTAGTTGGAATTTTAAATGAATTACACAGTAAATTATTTAGGTACATACCTTTCTTAAGAGACACTTCCATTTGATATTAGTTTATCTATTTCAGAAAATAAATTTGTATAGTTTTTATAGTTTTTTGGCAAAAAATTGTCTTTGACCAGATCCAAAAAAATACGAATACTGATTGAAATAAAAAATTTGACGTTTAATGTCAAATAACTATATACCATGTTTTTTTAAACTTAAATTATGTGATCATTTATACAATTTCAAGAAGAATGTAATTGAAAAAGTCGAGAGATGGTGTAGAGATCAGAAAAAATAGTCTGGCTAATCTGTGAGAATTGGGAAAGAATTATTGAAACCATTGCCCTTATTTTCATACAGTCCTAAAAATTTGTCAGATGATTTATATTATAATTAAAGCTGCAAATATAATTTGGCTAATGTTGAACATCCTTGGAACATCCCAAAAGTCTTGCCAGATTCGTCTAACGCTCGTCAGGCATGCTAAATTCTGGTACAGGTGATAACATAGTTGTCACCTTTACATATGTTTTTACTTTTCATAATTTAAAACAAGAAAATTGGTTAAAAACAATACAAATCCTTAACAAAGCAACAAATAACCACCATGTACCGACTCAGATCAAACCATTGCTTATCCCCGTCACATCTCTATAAAATAAGAATCAACAGAGACAATTTGTGTCCGTGTGGAGAGTGGAGAGGTTGCTGATGTCTTTCATTTGATAATTGCTTGTCCACACAATTAAAATCACCAAAAAATCTTATACTCCTATTTCGACAATGAGATAGAGCAAAAACAGATTTCCCTGCATGATATCCTTTTCAAATTTAACAAGACAGAACACATAAAACAAAAAACAAATCGCTTTGTTTTTGAATGTTAGTATCTTAAAACTATAAATATTTACTAATGTGTGTGAGGTTCAAGTTAACGGCTCCTTTCTGCTGCAATGGCTAAACTGGACGGGACCTACTTGTTTACGTGGAATCCGAACCGCGGTCATCGGCCATATCATGGTCAATGGCCTACCGACTTAGGAAGTGTCTAAATTAACTCTTACTCACGAGATATCCGATCTCATCCGGCCTTGAACCGGCGTGAATGAGCAGTGTGTATCAATAGATTTTACACTTTTCCCTTTTGGACAACAGCACGATGGAAAGTTTCGAACCGGTCACCCGTCCATCCACTAGCATCGCCTTGCGTCGCTTAACTTCGGTGTTCTAATGGGAACCGGTGTTTCGACGTAGCTGGGCCGTTGCCCATATTTACTAATAACAAGCCTAACATTAATCATATTATAACCATGAAAAAAAAAACTAGCAGCAAATTTGACATGTCATAATCACATTTTCTTGAAATGCACAGTAACTATTGGGACTTAGAGCTGCTTAGTACTCGTAGAATGCATGTATAACTGAATAGTCGCAGAGCTTAAAGCAACCTGATTAATAGCCTCAATAATTAATAGTCGTTAATTAATTAGTCTAAAATAGTCGTTAAGAAAGATAAATCAGTGAAGGTCCATAAAACGTGACCACCCAGAAAAAAGAAAAGCAGAAAAGTTCTTTGTCAGAATGGCGCAACGCAACTCCCTCCTGAAAAGGAGAGTTTGAGAAGAAAGAAGAAGAAGAAAATTGGTATATAGCAAAATTTGACTATGGCTAAAAACAATTTTCTCAATGTTTTGAGACCCCAGGTTTCCAATTATGATTTTAAAAAACGATAGTCCATCCGTTCCTCATCAAAAATAACTTTGTAACTATCAGAGATACGAGAAAGTTCTATAATTGTTTATTGTAGGAAATTTAATTCTCTACTAAAATCGATTTCTTGACTTTATTTTGTATCTCCCTTAAGAGCGAATTTTGAAATAAAAAGTTACTCGATTTTGATGAATTGAAAATTACGAAATTGCTTTATTTAAATACGTACGTGCCACCTCATCTCATTTAACTACCTGACTTGTTAGTCTGGCGGTGCTTTTGTGACTGTAAATGACAGCCAGACGTTTTTTTTTATGAAATTATACTATTATTACCATGTGACAAATTTTCAAATCTGGGAAAATAAGATCAAAAATTTTATAATTTTTGAAATTTTTAAGATGCCGCCAGACTCAATTGCCAATTTCGTAAATCAGCCAGACTTGCTTTTGATTATAGTTTATGATAGTATCAAATTAATGATACTTTAAATTTTAAGCGTTGGAAAATAAGAGTTATGGATTTCAAAAATCTATCAAATTTTTAAAAAAATTGTAAATTAAATAATAAAATGTAAATTTTCAGCCAGACTGACTTTCTTCCACTTGGGATATGCCAGACTGTTATTTCCATTAATGAAAGGATTCACTTTACTAAATGTCAAATATTTATGGCTAAGAAAATAAGTATATTTTTTATTTTTATTTAGTGAACCATTATTTTTCTAAACCATCCGAAAATTTTATCCAGACCATTCCAGACTCACAAATTGTCATTTAATGTCACCCCGAACATACTATTATACCGGGTGCGTCTCAAAAGTGGCTTACACCTATAACTTTTTATTTTTTTCAGATAAAAAAACGATTAATTGACGTATTCAATTGTTTTTTGTCTCTTCCTGTTTCACTGGAAATACAACTTTTGATTTTTAAATGGCACCCTCAGTATATTTCTACTTTACTGGATAGAAAATGACATATCATATGTTTGACTCGAAATACCAAGTGTATGGTATCAAACAATTCGTAAAAAAATGTTTTTTTCAAAATATGCTAATGAGCCACCCTTGTTCCATTTGAAAAAAATGAGATATGATTAAAAATACGATTTGGGCATCTTTTAACTGGCCAGGACAAGACACTAAAAAGATTAGACGATCAAATATATTTTTTCAAAGCTCCTTGGTTAAAAGTGAGTGTTTTTAACACAGCGATGGCATTCTAGAACTCTTAAAACTAAAAATACCATTTTTTTTAAGTGAAATTGTCAAAAGTTGACATACAACATGTCATTCCACTCAGAATGTCATCTTCTATCGAATAAAGTAGAAATATACCGAGGGTGTCATATAAAATTAAAAGTTGTAGTCATTTCCGGTGAAACAGGAAGTGACCAAAAACAATTGAATACGTCAATCAATCCTAATTTATGTCATACATACCCAAATACGTTTAAAATAAAGTATACGGAGGGTACCGCTTAAATTCCTGTCCCGATATTGAAGGATGGCTATAGAATTTCAATGCATTTCCTACATAAGTCTATCCTTGGTTTGTAGGAGGTTTGACTAAACAAGGATGAACCTATGTCTTGAAACCATTCGACTCGATTTTCTGTCCTCATTCAATACTGGGACGTAAATCCTCTCATTGCTCTTATGGGGAGGCCGTCGTATATTTTATTTAAACGTATTTGAACATACCAAATCTCGTATTTTTATCTAAAAAAATAAAAAAGTTATAGGGGTAGAGCCACTTTCTTTTTAGTTATAGAGCCACTTTCGAGACGCACCAGGTATAATCACCAGGAAAAATAAGTACAAATAAAAATCACTGTCTCCTGGACTAAACCGTGCCTGAACTAAGCTTTAGCGATATACATCATATAATAAAGTTTTAAATAATATATTTACATAATAATGAAGTAAAGAATTGCAGTAAAGAATAACATACAAAATTGAAAACTTGTTATGAATCTTTAGAAACCCTCGATCGCCCTGTATATAGAGGATAATTACTCCCCTACACCCCCCCTAAGAGCGCCTTTACTTCCGTCCAACCTTACTTACGAACATGACATCGATAATGGAAATTATGGCCATCAGGGCGATGTTTGAGACAGCACTCTGTCCTATCGGTCATCTCTGGCAGGGGGTAAGCGGTCAACAAGGCCTACCCCTCCACTCTAGCCCTTTCACTCTGCCACGATCCCTCTGACAGGTTTCAGGAATCCGTTTCAGCGTTTCCAAGCGCTTCAGTCTACAGGCGAACGCGTCACAGATAGCATAGCAGGAGCAAGAGTGTGTTACAATGTTGCCATCACGCTCTGTAAAGTTTCGTCTTTATTTCGCAGTGTTTGAGGTTAGTTTGCAATAATTTTATATATAAATTGGCATTTTTTCTTAAAATAATACTTTTTTACTTTGCTATGGATTTCTTAATTAATATTTGAGATTAGCAGATATGAATATTTTTTCCAGCTTAATTTTTGATTTGCAATAATTTTTTAAACAATATTAAGATTGTAATTTTTGTATTTAGTAAAGGAATTTTTTAAAACAAATTACAACTAGTTAAGGCATTTCTATTAATTGGCGTTGTGTGTAGGTACAATTAAACCAAAGTTACTTAAATTTATAGTCCAGGAGGCAGTGTTTTTTTTGTACTTATTTTTCCAGTGTATAAATATACAAGGTGAGTCTTAAATAAGTGGAAATATTTTTAGGGGTAGTATATTTCGAATACAGAAACACGATTATGAGTTTTTTTCGCATTTTTTTTTAATGTGGAATTGTTTTTTAGTTTTTAGTTAAAAATTATAATTTCTTGATAATATGGCAACATAGATAGTAGATTAATTTTACACGAAAGAAAATCCAGAGAAGATCCAGCGGTTCTCAAAAGCAAAAAATCATTTTTTAGAAATTTTTAAAGTAAAATAACTCAGTTATTTTGGACTTATTTGAAAAACGGTAAAGAGAAATTATTTGCACTTATTTAACACTCATCCTGTATAATAGTTTGTTCGGATGGAGTTTATCAAGAGACTTTAATTCTAATAATTTCTAATGTGAAAAAATTTCGACACCAAATTTCATCCAAATATTGACGTTACTTCAGAAATTATTTGAAAAAAATCGAAATAAAAATGAAATTTCTCCACCCTGTATCTCCAAATTAAGTATTTTCGGACATACATTAATACGAACTTTTTTACTTATTTTTATCTGCAGAATATGCTGCCGAAGTTTCCGGAATACAGATGGAAACCACCCTATACAGGGTGTCCCAGAAATAAGTGCAAGTATTTTAAGGGGTGGTAGATCTGATCAAAAGAAACATTTTTTTTCTTCCAAAATAGTGAGTCCAAAAAGTCCAAAATAACGAGTTATTTTACTTAGAAAAAAGTTAGAGAAAATTCCAAATTTTGAAAAAAAAATTTTCGCTAAAAATACCTCATAGGCGTGTTTTTGAAGCCGAAATATACTACCAGTTAAAATACTTGCACTTATTTCTGGGACACCCTGTATAGTGTTTTTTTTTAATTTAGAAATTATTAATTAATTAATTTTATAATAATTACTAATCTGTCGAATTAACACAAAAATAACCTATATATTTTAAACGTTTTACTTTAAACGAATCAGTATCCACAAGAAATTACTCTTCAATTACACAGTCAATTTGTCCCATATTCAGGCGTCCTTCATCGTCCTGAGCCTAATTAATCCACAACCCTGTCGAGCTGGAATAGGTCTGCGATGCGACATGATTCCCGAGGGAGTGAGCGCTCCAAAGAGCCGGGAAAGTACCGACAAATATAAGATAGAAATATCTGGAAACCCGGAATCGTATGTACCCGGAGAGCAGTATTCAGGTAAGTAATAACAGATAGATACTATAGCCCAATCACTTAAAGTTTTTCAGTAAAAATTTAGAGGGTAGGTATTTTGACCCAGTTAGGTTCTATTTGGCAGGCACAGTCTTGCACATCACATGGCCAAAATTATTGCATATAACGATATTTTTATTTTATTTTGGACCTAATATGATTGTTTTTATATTTTTGGACATATTGGCTTACTACACGACTAACTAATATAAATTTAAAAAACTAAGTGCAAGTGTTATTATAATTTTATTTCATATTGAGTGAAAATCAACAAAAACAAATTTCAATTTAAACAGAAAATTTTGACAACAATTTTAGTTATTTCTCACAACTAATAGTTAGTCTGTATTGCGTCCTCGAGCCACAATGCAAGCTGTGAGACGACGTGACATGCTCTCAATTAAGTTGTCCAGAAGATGTTGAGGAATGGCATTGGTCCATGTTTCGAATGTCTTGAATTTGAAATTGTTGTAACTACGGCAACATCGCTTAATATAGTCGCATGACGCAAGCCCGCCACGGCGGCGCGACGTCTCAAAGAACCAGTTGACATACGGCACTCTTGGTTGCGTACGGTTGGCTGTTGATGGCATTGTCGAAATACATCGAAAAAATAGCGAAAAAAACATAAACAACAATTTTAAATACGTATTTAACAATACGTATCTTTTAATAGATGAATAAAATCATCGATTCTAATTCCCCAGTCGTTTTTTTTTGATCATACGGTATTTCAAAAAAGAATAGCGTAAAAAGTATGACTAGTTTATTTGGAGTTTGACAGGACGTAGACTACGCGAAATAAATACATATTTCCAAAATTATTGCACACAACACCTTACCCAATAATGGTAAACAATGCATTCCTTATACAAAGCGGTTGCAAAACCCGTCTACTGTTTTACTTCCGAGAAATTAATTTGTAATCAAGCCATCTACATGTCACATTCACGAGCCAACGGAAGCTTAAACAAGAGGGAACGGCTTGACCACCATTTAATTGTTAATTATATCTTCAAAGCTTAGCTTACTTGAAGGTCTGCGGTCTCACTGCTCCGTTCCGACATTTAATATAGTGACTCGCTAACCGGATAATAGTTGAATGCTAATATAGGGTGTAGCGTACATTCACGTGGAAGGACCCTGTCATTGTTTGGATTCTAAGTTTAGATCAGGGAGCGTGATAAACTGTTCTCGATACGGTTTAGTTCCCGTCAAACATACGAACATACAACTATTAGCCTTGCCAAAATGGCTAACATATTTGCTTGGTTCAAATCAACTAGCCTAGGGCTCTTTATTGGAATGTTAGGTTGGTGTATTAAACATTTGTGTATTGAGTCAGTTTATTAGCTTCGTTTATTGGATCAGCATGACCAGTACATCATGAATAAGTTAGATTTACCGATACAATAACACAGTAATACGTATAATATCATAGTCGTTTAAACTCGTAGCGTTTATTTTCATGTTCTTAGAGTTTCTGTTAAGAGTCTATTACGCTGTACTTTCGGGTCGCTCTCAGGGGTCTCAGAAGGAAATATATATTATATTTCAGAAATTTGACTAAGGCTTAGCTCGATCCTGTCGTGTTAAGCCACACCCAAAATTCCAAACACACGTGCTTTGATTAAGGCTTGATTAAGGTTTGCAGAACTTCAGCATTTGCCATAAAATAGCGAGCAATTTGTTACAAAACCATATAAATTATATATTACTGTAATCGCAATATTTCAGTCTATTTCCGTATTGTAACGGAGTTTTAAATTATGTCTTTATTTTCGAGAAAATTTAGTCCAAACATAAGGAATATTTTGTTGATGTTTGACCATCAAAATCTTAAAAATAAAGAAGTTGTCTAAAAATGTGCTACAATACGGATATAGTATAATTATTCTTTATCTTTAATTTCCTTCTTCATTTGTGTAAAAATACCTAGCCAGTTTTACATAAAAAGTTAAATTTTTGAACGCTTATTTTGCTACTTTTTCGGACTAGTCAGATGGCTGAAAGTGAAAGCTCTTAAAGCTTCTTATTTTGAGCAGTGCAATTTACCATCTCTCGTTAGTTATACAAGTTTCTGTTTTAAGAAAAAATATTGAATTGAAGCTTAGAGTACAATTCTTCTTCTTGATGAGTTTGAGGGGTAAATTTATGTATAATGTTGGTGATTGCGGTATACAAAGCAGCAAATCATTTTATAGGAATGTTTTTTTTTTATTTTTATATACATAATGCGTATACATGTGTGTGTCAACTAGAAAAATATGTGTCTTTTTCTTTTGATATTATTATACTTATTGCATTAGCAGTTATTTTTTGATCTACCTTATAATACCCAAGCTCACGAAACTGCATTTCAATTTTACTACTAGTTTCTGCAAGCCACAATAAGCCCTCGCGGCCGCAGTGGAGGGTCTCACAGAGCTTTCAGATGTAGTGGAGCGTCCGCGACTTCGAGCAAGTACCATGAGTTTATATGAACAATTTCACATGGGTCGCGTATGCTCCGTCTGGATGATTGATTTCCTATTTCACCGGAAATGACTACAACTTTTGATTTTTAAATGGCACCCTCTGTATTTTTTTTTTACTTTATTCGATCGAAAATGACATTCTAAATAGAATGACGTATCATATGTCAACTTTTGACATATTCCTCCAAAAACAAATTGTATTTTAAATTTCAATCTAGAGTGCCATGGCTGTGTAAAAAAACACTAATTTTTAATCAAGGAGCCTTGACAAAATAGATTTGATCGTCTAATGTTTTTAGTGCCTTGTCCTGGCCGGTTAAAAGATGCCCAAATCGTTTTTTGGATCATATCTCAATTTTTTCAAATAGAACGAGGGTGGCTGATTAGCATATTTTGAAAAAGCATTTTTTTACGAATAATTTGATACCACACACTTGGTATTTCGAGTCAAATTGTCGTTATGAACCGCATGTTACAATTTCAAATAAACCATATGCGAAAATGTCAAAAGTTGACATGTGATATGTCATTCTATTCAGAGGGTCATTTTCTATCGAATAAAGTAAAAAATTACCGATGGTGCCATTTAAAAATCAAAAATTGTAGTCATTTCCGGTGAAACCGGAAGTGACCGAAAAGAGTTGAATATGTCAATCAATCCTAATTTATGTTATTTACTAACATACCACATCTCGTTGTTTTACCTGAAAAAATAAAAAATTTATAGGGGGTGAGCCGCACCCGGTAGGTAGCACATTTGGATATTTTTATGATAAGTTAGCAACTTATCGATGCCAGTTCGTTATACAATTCTGTTCTAAAAAGAAGACAAATTATTATTACACAACTTTAATTTCTATTTTTTCAGTATGTTTAAGTATAGTATTAATACTTACTATATTACTATACAAGTTTCATTTATTTATTTGATATAATGTTTTTTCATTTTAATATTTATCCAAATTAAGAGTAGAGAGTTTTTTTTTATTTTATAAAATAGTATTTTTTAATTCTAATTTATTTATAACAAGAAGCAATTATATTAACATAAAATTACTTCACTTATTAATATTAAAATTCAATTTGTTTTCATTCACATAATTTAACTAAATAATAGTAGAGGGTATTTTTTCGCGATTTTTTTTTGAAAATTTGTAAATTTTGAAAAAAAATTTGGAAGTTTTAATTTTTATTTTAATAACGTAATATCTTCATAATATGGCAACATAGGTAATAGATAAAAAATTATAAGAAAGAAAACACAGAAAAATCAAGTGGTTCTCATAATATAATCAAGAAATAATTTTTTTAATTTTCAAAATAAAACATCTCTGTTATTTTGGCCTTATTTGAAAAACAGAAAAGAGAAAATATGTGTCTTTTATCGGGATCTACCAGCCATGAAGATATTATTCAGCACTTATTTCAGACTCGCCCTGTATAATAGAATTGATATAATCTTTAATTTTGTTCTGGGTCATATTTCATAATCTTTCATGATATGAAAGTCATTTTTATGTGATATTATTAGAATGATATCAAATGTAACAGTAAACATAAATAGTAAATAGGTACATTACATCAGATATTTTCACATACCTACCAGTTAAGAAACCTTAATTAAAGAAAACAAGCTAGCCAGTCTTTTACAAAGCATTATTAAAAACATACTAAGGGTCTTGGGTGTCTGTTCATTTCTGGTCTTGGGTGTCTGTTTTCATGTGTACGAAGAGTACGGTCAACACGCTTAGTAAAATAAGATGTACTGAATAAAGACAGAAGGCGAGTGTTTTCCCAAGCGCATGGAATCTAGCGTCAAATTAAGTAGTTATGTAATAAATACTTCGTATTTTTGCTCACTCCGACTTACTAGATTGCCATAACGACTTACTCCTATACATGTAAAGGCCGACCTAAAGGTTCGCTTGCCAGTAGGGTATACTGTTCAACAAACATATACCAAGATTGATTATAACTTTTTGCTAATCCGTATTAGTGAACCAATTTTACTATTTTGTAATATTGTATCAATTTCCTATTCTGTCGTGTATTCAGTCTATCTCATAATTTTTTATGGTCTGAAAGTCATTTTAATGTAATTTTATTAGAGTATGTAATAGTAGACAAAGGTAATGTGATTTAAAACCAAATAAACTTTGGAAAGACTATTCCAAAATATAGTGTATTGTAAAAAATACTTTATATTTTTTAATACTAATAATATTACTCTTTAATACTAATGTATTTCAATATAAATATTTCTTATTATCGCAAAATTATTTTTTATCAAGAATGTATTATAGCAAATACAGGTTTAATTTATTTTCTTAATTAAGTCGCAGTAAAATAAACGACAAAATTATAAAACCGGTTTGTTTTGTACTTGACATCTATAAAATCTAACGTCTAGAATGTAACACAAAACAAAAACAGCAACTCGTTGCTAAGACATCCCATTTTAATTTCACTAACTTTTCTTTTATTTTCTAATTTGTTTTTCCACGTTTT